GCATACAGCACCATAGACAGGGGAACAACTAGGGACTTAAAATCAACAACGAGGAGGACGTAGAGATCCTGGGGGTGTTGGAGCAACAGCAATCTAGCTGAGAGGAATTACTAAGAGGCAGAAGAAGGGCAAGTGCGATGGTGGGACAGGAGGAAGGTAAACGAAAACAGAGGAAAGATCTAGGAAGCAAAGCTATGGATAGAGGTATAAACATAGATGTGCACATATGTAAATATATTAATTCATAAAAATAGAGGCACAGGCCTATATACATATATTTACATGGAAATGCATTGAGGAAGTGGGCAGACTTTGGGCCTCTGCTTAGGGCCTCCCTCAACACAAGAACACTTTGTTCTAAGAACCTGGCATTCTGTGATGCTCACCCTCCTGACACAATCACTGAAGATAAAATGGGTGCATAAGCAAATGTGATGGCACCTAGCTATCAAACAACACAGTGAATAGGGTCTTAAAGGCAATCTAACAGAGAAGCAACAAGCCCACATGGAAGAAGCACACCAACCTGTGCTGGTGAGAATTAAGTAACAGGCATCAGAAGACCCAAAACAAACAAACAAAAGAATATATTGTTGAGAACAAGGGGGATCAAAGCAGAGACCCAAAACCCATCCATGAAAATAGGACATCACTTCCCAGAGGGGTCACAGGAAGGGATGAGTCAACCAGGAAGCAGTATAGCACCAATGAAACATTTAATATTCCTCTGTTTTTTGAGGCTTCCTCACCCCCCACTATCATGACCTCAGTCCTGTCTTTCTGATACGAGTTCGGGACACACAGAATCCAGGTCAGATAAACCCTTCGGGAACAGAAATGGGAGAAGGGTTACCGGGAAGGTAGGGGGAATCTTTAAGTAAAAGGGAGGGGGTATACAAACCAGCCTATAATAAAGTACAATGCGAAAGTCTAAGAGCAAAAAGGTGACCCTGGCCTGAGTGGGGACCACTGCTTCCTTAACTGGAGCTGAAGAGTGTTTTCTCTGGCAGGTTTGGTGGGGGGGCAGGTGTGTGTGTGTGTGTGTGTGTGTGTGTGTGTGTGTGTGTGTGTGTTGATCCAAGGGGAAGAGGGTGACAGGCAGTTGATGATCCAATATAAAATGACAAATTTCTCTACTTGGATTGTGAGGAATTGCGAGTCAGGCTGTGCACACAATCCCTTCTCCACATAGGTGTCTCATCTGCTGGCTAGTTTTGTGGTCTTGGTGAGAGAACAGGGACAGGGCTTGCAATTAGGAGGGGAGAGCAGACCATTGCAAAGCATTTGCACCAGCTGCTGCTGATAGTGAGGGTGGGTCAGAGAGGTTCAGTCTGTTCAGCTGAACTCTGATTTATCCTGGAAAGAAAGGAAAAAAGAAACAGAAAAGGAAAAAAGCCAGCAAGCAAAGAAAAACTTGGTGCGCTAAGTGTTCAGATCACTCACCTGAGTTCTTACGTCTTGGGTTCTCCAGAATTCCCAGAGAGAGTTCTCCCTGGGTTGCTAACTGGCAGCCTCATTCCAATTTAACAGACACTGCTACAATCATGTTCCGTGAACCTCAATGGAGATTTAGTACCAGAGGATGGGTGATATGTATGCTTGGGAAAAGGTGATTTCACTTCTGTTTGTGGGTAAATTAGGGGGAGGAAGCCTAATCCTGGGGAAAACATGTAACATTACTGGTATAGAGTTCTCCATGGGAGAACCCTCCCTGTCATACATTGTTAATCATGCATTTTTGACTGAATTTCCTTTCTACCTCTGATGGCTTAGACCTTGCGGTATAGACCACGTGGTTTTTCCAGGTGCAGAAAATGCTTTAAAGGCTACATCACAAAGATGTTTCAGAACTCCCCTCTACATGATCCACACTTTACCTTAGAAATACCTCATACAGAAGAAATGGACTGAAATTCTCCTTAGACTGTACAGCCTAAGACAAACATATATTTGCTATATTTATATTTTCATTGATTTTTTTGTGACGTGTTAGTTCTATAGGCTTAGTTTTGCTTTATGAACGAATATCGAATTTTTGCCTTGTGTCTTGCCCTCTTTGATTTCGCAAGCAGTATTAAGTCACTTAATTTACTAATCTGTATACGTGAACATTTCTTGTGTTAGGCTGTGTTGTCTAGAGAAACAAAACCAGTGACACTCATATATGTATAAAACTTAATATAAAGAAGTGATTGCATATCAAAAAGGCATCCCAGCCCAGTCCAACTCAGGTTCGGGGCCCTCTTCAGACTCATATAGCTTCGGGCCAATACGTCTGAAAGGTGAAGTGGGAAGCAGAGAGGACACAGGTTGGTGGGTGCAGAGACCATGGATTCAAGGTTGGTGGTAGCAGGCATGACACATATATGAATGACATAGCAAAGGCAGATGGTGCCTCGCTATCAGTCTGTGGTCTTAAACGCTTGTCTTAGAAAAAGCAGCCATCTAAGTGAAGTGTCAGCTAAGCACACAGAAGAAACACACCAGCCTGCATGACCCAAGGACTGTAAATGATAAAATCCAATACCAGAGGAGGGAATTGTATTAGAGCGTCAATACTTAGCACCCAGTTTGCAGCAGGCTATGGATGTCAGTAAAGCCCCAAACCCATTTGCAGAGTCCTCATGAACTAAGTCTCCACTGGGCTCCCTGGGACCACTAATCAAATGTGTGAATGCTTTGGTCATTAGAGTGCATTGGAAAATGGATTACTACAGATATGGACTAAAATTTAGCATCTAACATTTGTTTTTCCTCTTGACCCATTTGTAATTTGTTCTAGCGTATCCTACTTTCTATTTTCTTTTGGATTTACTCTATCTATATTTACACCTCCACCACCACCATTTCCCCCAAAAGGAAGTAAGCATTTATTTTGTACATCTATTTAATATTTAAAATCACTCTAGAAGGTGTTACTATTATGATCCCTTTTACAACCGAGGAAAGTAAGGCTCAGAGAGATTAGTTAAAGGAAGGATTGGAGATTAGTTTTCCCAACTTTGGATTAGAAAAACCATTTCCTATTCAATTTAGTCAAACACTACACTGACTGTGTTACTCTAGAAAACTAGGAGTATTTTGTTGGGAAGGGGAGAAGATATGAAGGGTAAAAGCAAAACCACCACCACCAACAACAACAAAAACAATTCATTGCCCTGGAATCAAACTGACTCAGATTGACCCTACAAGACAGAGTTATCCTGCCATTTTAGGTTCCTGAGTTCATAAATCTTTAACGCAGCTGAAAACCTCATCTTTTTCCTGCCCATCATCTGGTGGGTTAGAAACGGTGATCTTATAGTTAAGCATACTATGCCACTAGGGCTCATTAATTAATGTTTTTGAGTGAGTTTACTCAGACAGACGAGTGACATCAATTCACTCAGTTGGGGTACCTTTGAGAATCAAGCCTATCAGAAATGAAGGAGGGCAGTTTCCTCGGAGTCTCAGGGATCAGTGGCTTCTTGAGGGGAGCCAGCTGCCCCCAAATAACTCAGAAAAACAAACGCTGCCATGGAGTCAATGGCGACTGACAGTGACCCTATAGGACAGGGAAGAATGCGCTCAGGGTCAGGCACTGTAGTTCTTTACAAGAATAGAAAGTCCGGCCATTCTCCTGGTGTATTCGAACTGCTGACCTTATGATTAGCAACCCAACACGTAACCCTTACACCATCAGGGCTACCAGCTTTCCCTAAAGGTGATATTAAACCTGGGCCACCAAACCCAGAAACAGGGAGAACAAGGTACTTGCCCAGGTTCGGCAAGAGGGGCTACAGTCCCGCTTTTCGGCGTTTTAAAAAAGTCCCGATTTTTGGAAAGAATGCACGACAAGCTAGGAAACGGTCTATTTGGTCCATATAGACCAAATTTTTAATCAAGAACTCCCCCCCACCCCACCCCCGTCAATGGTGTCCCGCTTTAAATCTGGTCACCTTAGGCTACATCTACAAGAATTTGGGGAGATGGAGGCACAGGTCTGTGGTCTAAGGTTGTAGTCAAGGAAAGAAGTTACCATCTCCTTCAGGTATCCCCTCTTTCCATGGTCCCAGGGTCCTGTTCAGCCAAGCACCACGCACAGCCATTTAGTTGATTCCTACTCAGCAGTGACCCAAGTCCAACTTCTCCTTGGTGTTTCTTTTTTCTTTTTTAAAAATCATTTTATTAGGGGCTCATACAACTATTATCACAATCCATACACACATCAATTGTGTAAAGCCCATTTGTACATTCATTGCCCTCATCATTCTCAAAACATATTCTCTCCACTTAAACCCCCGGTATTAGGTCCTCATTTTTCCCCTCCCTCCCCGCTCCCCCCTCCCGCATGAGCCCTTGATAGTTTATAAATTGGTATTTTGTCATATCTTGCCCTGTCCGACGTCTCCCTTCACCACTTTTCGGTTGTCCGTCCCCCAGGGAGGAGGTCACATATAGTTCCTTGTAATCGGTTCCCTTTCCTACCCACTCTCCCTCTACTCTCCCAGTATCGCCACTCACACCACTGGTCCTGTAGGACTAATCCGTCCTGGATTCCCTGTATTTTCAGTTCCTATCTGTACCAGTGTACATCCTCGGGTCTAGCCAGACTTGCAAGGTCGAATTCGAGTCATGGTAGTGGGAGCGAAGCATTTAGGAACTAGAGGAAAGTTGTATTTTTCATCGTTGTTACATCGCACCCTGACTGGCTCATCTCCTCCCCGAGACCCTAAGGCTGTAAATATTTACGGGGACAGCCACATCTTTCTCCAGCTCCAGCAGCTGGTGGGTTTGAACTTTCTACAGTTTGGGGCACTTTTAACCTCTCAGGATCTCTAGAAAACCTTCCCTTACCCTTTCCTAACAAGCCGCATCAAGGTCCATCAGAAACGCGCTTGCGCAGCGGTTTCCGGAAGTCGCCTTTGGAAACCGCAAGGCATCGATGGACTCTGTAATCGACTTCTCGTCTTACCGGCGCTCTATTGTAACGCCTGGCGGCGTTACTTCCTGTGTCTGCCTCTGTTTCCGGCTCTGGGCTCTAACGGGAGGACAAGGCGTCAGGTAGGTCGGAGTCCTTCTTATCTGCTTGTTTCGATTCTCTGGGCTGCTTTTCGGGTCTTTACTCGACTCCCCCTTGTCGGAGCCGGGAGCGAATGATGCGCGGCGGTGAGCTGGGCGCATCTGACCAGGGGACGGACACTGACGGGCTGACTCCACAAGGCCTGGGACCTTGGGAGATTGGTCCCATGTGGGACCGCCTGGATTCTTTTCTGGACAGGGCTTAGAGCTTGTATGTCCGGAGTACTCCCTGGAAAAACAACAGATGCCCTCCACCCCCACATTTAAGCATCCTTGTAACGCAGTGGTTAAAAGTTCGACTGCTGTAAACCAAAAGGTGGACGACTCGGCCTGGATCTTGTCCCATAAAGACAATAGCGTTGGAAACCGTACGGAGTCATTCTGCTCTGCTGTATATGGTCGCTGTAACTCTGAATCGACTGCATGCACGCTCTAGCAACAGTATCGCCACGCGTGTCCCAGGTGTTTGTTAGGAGCCCTCAGTCGGTTCCGACTCAGCGACCTAGGTGCAACAAAATGAAGCACTGCCCAGCCCTGCAGCCTCCGCACGATTGTGGTGCTTGCTTGAGTCCATTGCTGTAGATGCTATGGCAATGCATCTTTTTAAGGCTCTTGCCCGTTTTCCCTGACCCTCTACTTTATCAAGCATCATGCCTTTCTCCAGGGATAGTCCCACCTGACTTGTCCCAAGTAAGACAGAAGTCTTGCCAACTTATAAGAACCATTCTGACTGTACTTCTTCCGAGACCAGATTGTTTCTTTTGGTGGTCTATGGTAATTTCAGTATTCTTCACCAACACCATAATTCAAATGCATCAGTTCTTGGGGCTTCCATATTCAGTCCAGCTTCCACAAGCATATGAGGAACTTGAAAACAACCCTAGCATGGGCCAGGTATACCTTGGGCCTCAAAGTGACATCTGCCCTCTTGAATGCTTGGCTTTTTGATTTCTTTAACCACGAGTATCGATTGTATCCAAGTAAAATTAAACCGCTTTCTTTCTCTATCATGATGATGCTTATTGGTTCTGTTGGGCGGAATTTTATTTTGTTTGCATTCAGGTGTAATCCATACTAAAGGCTGTACCCTTTGATTTTGAAGTCTTCTTCACTTTCAGCAAGCAAGGTAGGGCTATCTAATCCTGATGCAGAGTTGTACTTCTGTAGTCTGGTTTCTGGATTAATTTGTTCAGCATACAGGATACAACCCGACACCCACCTTTGCTGCTCACAGACCATTCCGTATCCTCCTGTTGTGTTTGAAGGGCTGCTTGCGTCTTGGTCTATGTGCAGATTCATCATGAACACTCCTAATTGTTCTAGAATCCCCATTCTTCCCAATGTTATCCATAGTTTGTTATGATTCAGACAGTAATTAACTGGAAAACTCACTGCCATTGAGTGATTCCGATTCAGGATAGGGTAGAACTGTGGGTTTCTGAGAGTAAATCTTTATACAAAGCTTCTTTATCCCAACACAGTAACTAGGTGTTTACAATTCTCTGCGTGTCCAGTAACTGTGGTGGCACGCTTGTTAAAGCACTGTTCTGCTAACCAAAAGGTCACGAGTTGGAACCTAGCAACTGCTCTGTTGGAGGAAAGATGAGGCAGGCAGCTGTGGCGATTAGAGCCTTAGAAACCCCAGGGACCATTTGTTTTGTCCTATGTGGTCACTGTGAGTCTGAGTTAACTTGGTAGTGAGAGGGAGTTGGATGTCTTTTAGCAATTCTTTTTAAAATTGGAGAAGGGTCCTACTTGTTTAAGCCTTTATCACTCCCCCAAATACGATGATAGAAGAGCCTCCCATTTGATCTCCAGTTTGGCCTTTGTTTTTATTGCTTCCTTCACCTCCTTTGCTACAGCATTCCTGTTCCTTCAAGTTGAAGCTAATGCACGTCTTGGAGATCCTTCTCATCCACTTGTTACTTATATATATAAGTGCTGTCTGTGTCAGCAGTTCCTTCCTTTATCAGTGACTCTGCTTCTGTGATCCAATAGGACGGGGTAGAATTGCTCCCTGGGCCGTTTGAGTCTGCACCTTTTCATGGGAGCAGATAGTTTCAGCCTTTGCTCAAGGAGCAGCTGGTCGATTTGAAGAGCAGACCTTTCAATCAGCCCAGTGCTGCTGTACATCAGGAATCTTTTCATTAGCCCAAGTACATTGAATAAAATAATGCTGTTAAAGTGTCGCTAAATAACTGGCATTTGACCAAAGTTTTGAGCCTGACATCTCTTGCTTAAAAAAGAGAGCAAATATTGGATGACTTTTAAAGACTCCTGCTAGGTTGATCCAATGAGAGCTGGAAACCCTTGTGCTATGTCCCCGTGCCACGCTGCACTATGATGCAATTCTCCTTGTTAACAGAATCTGTGTTTACCCTCTAGGTTGTCTGGAAGTGTAACCGAAACCATGGATATCAGACCAAATCACACAATTTACATCAACAATATGAATGACAAAATTAAAAAGGAAGGTATGTGCTTTAAAAATAATAATGATTCAGATAAAAAGTGTTTTCAACCAGAAGTATATTAAGAAATTGAATTGCCCTCATACTTCACCATTCATCTTCCTTAGTGCCTGAACTAATAGTTACCCTGTTCTGCATAAGGATTTTAAGCTTTCTAAAAGAAAAATAGGTAGAGACTGACAATGGGCTGAGTTTGTTTTCCCTCATACAGATTTAGTTGTTTGAAATTACATAGCCAACAGAAATAGTTTGTGTTTTTATTGAAACATGTAACTCTATATCAGTAGTTAGGAGACATTCAGGTGCTATTGTAATGAAGACTTTCATTAATTATTTCATTCACAGATAACTTGTTTCTTTTCTGATTTTGCACAGAATTGAAGAGGTCCTTATATGCTCTGTTTTCTCAGTTTGGCCATGTGGTAGATATTGTGGCTTTAAAGACTATGAAGATGAGGGGACAGGCCTTTGTTATATTTAAAGAACTGGGGTCATCCACAAATGCCTTGAGACAGCTACAAGGATTTCCATTTTATGGCAAACCAATGGTAAGTCCTTTTCTTTTTTTTTCCCTCTCTCATTTTACCTTTAATCACTGTATGGTATGGCAGATTTGTAAACATATGTTTGAAACTTTGACTACTACTTTCTACTTTTCTCTATGTTGGAGGCATACTTCCTAATCAAGGTAAACCTTCAACTTCAAAGTGAACTTAGTTGAATAAGGGATTGAAATATGAATTTCGATTTCCTTATGAGCCACGAGAAGTTGATGTCCTTCATTTCAGAGCTCTGTGAGGGCCTACTGTGCCTGGCCGTATGTAGGTTTGTGACATGCAGAAGTGAACAAGACAAAAATACTTGTATCCTGTGGAGGAATTTGGCAAAGAAGCAAACAAGTAAAGAAGATGTGGCCAGCATTTTCTGAATGTTGCATGTTAAATATTCTCGTCATCTTATATTAAACATCTGAACTACTGTACTATTCCTCCAATTTACCAATGAGAATAGTGGAGCAGAAAGGATCCTACCTTGTCTTTGGAAGCAATGGGAGGCTAACCCCAGTAATATGGTAGAATGTAGTTCTCAACTTCTGCTTTATGTTACCTGGATCCGACTCCGGTGTGCTGAGCCCTGTCGAAATGATGTTGGGTTAATTCTTGTAAGTGCTCTGAAAAAAAACAAAAAACATACAGGGTGATGTGATAACATTGATTGGTTGCTTTTCATTTTATTTTGATTTTTTTTTTCTCTTATTCATTTACTATTTTCATTTTTTTAAATCAGTTTGGGCCAAAAAAAAAGATTGGTTGGTATAGGGAGGATTACTTCTTAGAAACAGTTGTCAGGAAGGGACTTTGAAGAGGCAAGACTTTTAAGCTGAAACTTGAAGAATGAAGAGAAATCAAAGACAGAGAGAAAAGTGATTGCAAAGCTCCCTAAAAGAAGTAGAGTTTAGTGTTTTGAGAAACTGAACAAGGGCCAGTATTGCTTGATCATTGATAATGTGGTGGTTAGGGGATTGTACCTGATGAGGTTGTTTTGAAGGTATGGATAGAAATACATTGGTAGTACTTAATTCAGTTCTCAATTATTAAAGTTCAAATGGGCAAAAAACAACATACATTGGGATATGGTGTTGCCTTAGAATTGCTTTTGACTCTAGCTATTCCATAGGGTAGAGTAGAACTGCTCCGTAGAGGTTCCTAGGCTGTAATCTTTATTGGAACATATCACCAGGTCTTGTCTCCCATGAACAAAATGCAGAATTAAATATAAAGCCAGACCTACTGGACCAATTGAAGAAAAGGACATCCTGCTTGTTAGCGTAGAGGGCCAGTGAAAAAGAGGAAGACCTTCCATGAGATGGACTGACACCGTGACTGCAACAGTGGGCTCAAACACAGGAACGATTGTGAGGACGGTGCAGGACTGGAATGTTTCGTTCTGTTGGCATAGAGTTGCTATGGGTAGACTGACTTGCCAGCTCCTAACAACCCCAGCGAGGAAACATTTGGAAGGAAATTTGAGGGTTGTAAGTAGGTCCACCATAGAAGACAGTTTAACTCAAAAGAAAAATATTTGAATCTCTTGAGTCTAGCTATGTGACAATGCTTTATTTAGGTTAGGGACTTGCACTTCAGCGTTGTTCACATACCAGTAGGACCATCTCCTGAACACTTGTTCTAAATGCAGCATATCAGCCTCTCCTAGACCTGCATCAGAATGCACTTTTACAGTATCTTCCAGTATTTTGAATGCAAATTACAGTTTATGAGCTACTATCCCATAGCAGTGTCTTCAACACATTTCTGCTGTCTCTCAGGTGCTTATTATTTTTGCAGCTGTGGCATATATTGTTACATCATAACTGATAGACTTGTTATGCATCCTTTTGTTTTCTTTAAAAACATTTTATGATGTAAAATGGTGTCATCATTTAAAAATTTTGAATTTGATCCAACAGAAAATCTTTAGTACTTTAACGAGTGTGGTAATACATTCCACATGACACTTTACACAGCTGATTGACACTTTTAGACACTTCCATTGAGAGTTACTGCTACAGTGTGGACACTTGCAACAATTTTCTCCATACTTTTATGGAAAAAGGAGATAGTACAGATGTTTTAAAGTCTATTTTTCTCATATGGAAAATGTATGCTTCTTAATAATACATTTAAACTGGAATTTTGTCTAAGTTGGGACTCCTGCTCCAGTGACCACTCCGTCCAAGCTGACTCAGCAAACTGATGCCTCGTGACTCATAAGCCAGTTTATTTTTATTTGACGATCAGTATAATTTCACAGATATAAACACATCGTGGGAGTGTTTAAAATTAGCTCGCAATGTATTTGTGTACTGAAATTTGAAATATTAATAACAAGAATAACCAGCCTTCAGCATAATGAAAAGTAACCTGTTTTTAAAATAATTCAAACAGCGAATCCAGTATGCAAAAACAGATTCCGATATAATATCTAAAATGCGTGGCACTTTTGCTGACAAAGAAAAGAAAAAAGAAAAGAAAAAAGCCAAAACTGTGGAACAGACAGCAACAGCCACAAACAAAAAACTTGGCCAGGTAAGATGAAAGAAACTTCCTCTTTTGGAAGTTATAAATTTGTTGGGTTTGTCTTCCATGAGCAATGATCTTTGTATATGCATACATGTTTAATGGGTAGATTTTTAGGATACTAAGATGGTTTAAAAATTTGAGTGTTTATATTTAAGTAGCAAATTTACATACATAATTTTACATATGCAGATTTACATTAAACCTGCTTATTTTAATTTTTATTCATTTAATTCCATTTGTCTCTAAAATGTGTTAATACCTACTGGCCTTATTTTCATGTTTTGCTGCTGATAACACTATAGATACTATATTTAATTATGATTACTGTGCTCAAATACTGTTTATGAGTTGGGCTGCTAACCACAAGGTCAGCTGTTCAAAACCAGTTGTTCCTCGGGAGAAAGACAGACATTCTACTCCCTTACAAAGGTATGGTCTCAGAAGCTATCAGGGGCATTTGTCCTATAGGGTCCTTGATGGCAGTGAGTTTGAATTTTTGACTCTGCTCAAATATTTTTCTTTGAATAATCTAAGACTGTAAAATCACATTTAAAGGACTAGATAAAAGGGAAATTATCATTTTAAAATTTTCTACTTCTCAGGGGAAACATAGATACTCCTGGATTTAAAGGAATTATATATCAACTTCACTAAATATAATGTTTGACTTCTGTCAAATTTTTCTTTCAAAAGAGAAAAATGGTTGTTGGTTTCATCCTAATTCTCTATAAATGTTGAGGTTAAATTTTATATGTAGTTTCTAAAATTTAAGGTTAGTCCTTTAAAAAATAACTTGCCAGTTTAATGCATGAACGTGTTTAAGTCAGAAGAAAGGTATACATTTTTAAAGTCAATTGGAATAAGAAATCTATCAAAATGAATTTATTCAGTAAATACAGGTAAGTGCTGCTTTTATAATAGAGGTTGGAAATTTTAACTGTTTACCTATGTTGTTTGTTTGTTTTTAACTTAGGGACTACCAAATTCAGCTAATGCTCAAGGAAATTCAACTGCAAGTCCTCAGGTAATAATATTTTCCATGCAGTACATTGTTTAAAATACACTTGAAAACTAAATTATTAATGAACATCTCTAAAGACAGAAAATAATTCCATCTACATGCATAGTATATTAAAATATAGAGAGCATTTCCAGGTAGAAACACATTGCCCAAAATATCCTTTCTTTGTGAGTGGAGATAAAATCTGACTTTATTCTTTGCTTTCTGGAATGAATATATGACATTTTAAACGCTGTGAGGGCTGAGTGCAAACATTTTTGTTTTCCCCTTAGTGCATATAGAATCAGTCCTTGAACATTGTATAGACACACCTTCACAATTACATTGCAGTCGCATATAGAATCAGTCCCAGAGCATTGTATAGACACACCTTCACAATTTACATTGCAGCCGCATGTAGAACCAGTCCCAGAGCACTGTATAGACACACCTTCACAATTACATTGCAGTCGCATGTAGAATCAGTCCCAGA